AAAATCATATTTTTAATAGATTTTGACAAAAGTTGATGAGATGTGTGGTTGACTTTGACTTTAGATTTTAATTGAATTTCAATCCAAACCAAACAAGGGCTATATTTTTTACTCATCAATGAATTGATGCATCATTTTACAAATGCTTAACACGAGCTAAATATTAATACTCGATGAATATTTTCTCGTATTTATTACTCGTTTTGTCCCATAAAAATGGTCACATTTCTTTTTTCACACAGATTAAGAAGATTTAGTTAATATAGTTGAAATAATAAATTTTATTATTATTTTTCCTAATATGCCCTTAAATTATTGTATTCAATATTCAAGCTAATTAAATGCTTGTTTGAGCCCCATTTTTTGTCAAAAAATACATTCTTGAATAGTATATTGATGGAAAATGTATGGTTAAAAAATAAAGAAAAATTTTGAATTTACGTGTAATATTATTTTATTGAAGAACTTATGGTTGAAATTGGTCAAAATACTATTCAAGGAAACATTTAAAAAAAAATGGGCTCAAACAATGACTAAATTATGTATGCAATATTCAATGTAATTAAACTATTATTTGGTACTAGTCATCGTTTAATGCAAGAATCGAGATAGTTAATATTTCATAGTCATCCAATACACTTACAAATGAATAAATGTCAAGGAAGATGATTTTTTTTTAAATTTTTAATTTATTGTTCTAAATACAAATTTACAATTGAATAATAGAGTGATTTATATTTGTGAGAACAAATCACATTAAATACGGACATATTAGGAAACTAATATATTAACTATACTTTCAAATAAAAAAATGAGACTATAATTTGAGACGGACGAAAAATGAAAACATGTCAATCTTTATAGGATGGATGGAGTATATTTTTATTTAAGTAAATTGAACGTGGTGGTTAATATTATCTCTAAGTTTGTAAATATCAAACATAAGGTAAAACTACACATTTAGACGATTATAATAACACATTAATACATCAAATTAACAAGCGACTTCACTAGCAAACTTTAGACATATCGTGTAAATGTTGGAGAATTATATGTACAAATTAATGTACTTAACTCGTATTTTGACGCTGGGCAGAATAGTAATTATTCTGCAGACTGGAACCAATAGACAATAATAGAGAAGAACGCAAGAGAATAACACTAAGAAAAACAACAAAATCTTTATTATTCAACAACTGAACGAAAATAACCCACAAGTCAGGTTAAATAGCTAGAAAATAATAATTTTCGAAATTTTACCAAAAATAGCAAAATCTTATTATTCATACCAAAAGAAAATATGTAATGATGNCTTTATTATTCAACAATTGAGCGAAAATAACCCACAAGCCGAGTTAAATAGTTATAAAAAAATAATTATCGAAATTTTACCAAAAATAGCAAAATCCTATTATTCATACCAAAAAAAAATATGTAATGACGGAAATAAGATTCCAAAAATCTGGTTTAATTTGAGATCGTAACATATGTCAAAAAAGAAATTGAAATATTACTAAAAATGATTAAAAAATAATTTAAATTGATGATTTAGAAGGGAAAACAGTTGAATTTGGAAACAAAATCGAAGCACACCGAGCATAGTTCGATGACCACGACTTGCTCGCCGAATAGAGCTTTCCGAATTGGGGTCATGGGTGTGATTCTGACAACCGTAGCTAAAGTTATAGTCAAAATACCGAAACGTGTCCAAATAAGAAAGGTCGATGATTATTTGCCATTTTGCGCTAGTCCGCCTACTCATGATATCTCAGCGTCATTAACGTACTATCAGACAGTTCGGTCTCGTCTGACTCAGATCCTCCTGCATCATATTCTTTCGTTAATTCTATGCAATGTTGTCTCGTAAAACTTATCAAACATTGCTCTAACTTTGCGAGTCTGAATGTCAATAGATTTCATTCACGGTGTCTATTTCACATCCAATTTTTTTTCGATCATCTGATTTGAGAATCAAAATGTCTGTGACCGTTGCACTTCCCGGAGCTACAACCACATGTAGTCTAATGCTACCGTTTCAAGTGTGCATGTAATATATGAGCAGACGAAATTTGTAGTCGGTATTTGTTGTTGTTCGAAACCCCTAATTTCGGAGGTCAACACATCTCATTGTTGTTTCCACCTAATAAACAATTTAGTCAGGATTTGGAGCTCAAAAATCTATTTCAATAAAATCATTCCTAACCTTCCCCACACCAAAAAAAAAAAAAAAATTGTTTTGGCGAACCGACTATTATAAAGTTATAATAAACAATACTACACGTAGATGATATTACAATAAATTAAAGTAGACATTATTAGTTGCATTCAAAATATATTCCTTTGCATTATTAACCTCATAAAAAATGTGGAGGCTGAATGTGGGTTTAACCCGAATAAGAAAGTGTTTGATACACATTATTGAGAAGAAAATGCATTTTATGATTTGATGTAAGGAAAATATGTGATTACAAAATAAGAAAAAATTTTAAATTTGGTGTAATATTATCTAATTGAAAAATGTGTGGTTAAAAATGAATATTGAAAGAATGAATTTTAAAAAGAATATGAATCAAACACGAGCATAGTAAATCATATTCTTTGGAATAAAACAAGCAAATAACCTATATCCAACTTAATAGACCACAATACTATATATCTAGTAATTCTTTGGAAAAACTCCAGCTTTGCTTGAAATTGCCGCGTCAAGGGTTTGAATCCTGAAATATAGATTTGATCATTGGGTAAGTACAAGTGTACAAATAGCCTTCCACCCTATACCTTTGGAGGTATAACTTGCGATTTACCTCTTTCACCAAATCCCATAACAGGATAAGTGGGGACCATCGAGGATGCGGCTCATCTTTTTTTTTTTTAGTAATATCTATTATAAACTTATATTATATTGCATAATCTAGTGTGTAAAACGCAACATAAGTACATGTTTGCCAATACAAATTAAAATTTTCACGTATTTATATTTCTTAGCATTATTTAGTACTATTAATTTCCTTATCGATACATCATAAGTACTAATTAGTGTTAATAAAAGTTGATGGATTTCGTAAAAAATGAAGTTTGATAAGTTTTTAACGAAAAGAAACTTTAACAAACAAAGCGCTAGACAAGAAAGCATAAATGAAGAATTACTTAAGCTAAAACAACAGATTAATATTAATTAATTAATTTGAACAATCGACCATGGTTATCATTGTCAACACACCAAAAGGATTCTTGTCGTTTAGGCTTTAGGGCTACAGTCTCCTGTAATTTCAGAAAAAAGGCAGGGCTAAAAATGACAATTCTCATACTGATGGCAAAAATATCAAGAAAGCTGGAAATGTATTTTTGTGCAAATGCAGAGAACACAGTAGGGTTACTATAGTCTAGGACAGCTCCGTAGGGTAACCCTTCTCCCTCTCTCTACATTATATATTTTGTTGTAGTTGTTTCTCTCTCCATATGTAAAATTCTTGAATATTTTTCTTTCTCGCGCATATTCACAGAGGGGGAAGTGAATAATGAGGAGTTTATTTTTTATTTTTTTTTGTGGAGAGAAGAACCTGATGCCTCTTTTGATGTGTGAGTGGGTGGTGCCGTAACTGCTCTTTTCTCTTGTCACTGTACAGAAACTGATACATACATTTTACACACAATCATACATCTTCTATCTCTCAGATTCTCTCTCTACATCTTTGAGCTATTTTTCTTTGTTTTTTCTCTCTGTTATTCCTCTAAAGTCTTTTAAGCATACGATTACTGTATTTCCTCCTCATTTTTCCTACTACTAGGAATACATATTGATTCAAATCTAACAGGTCTGTAGCTGATTTTGTTCTAGGAATTTCTTTGATCTTTAAGGGGGTTTTCTTTATTTTTTGCCTTCAAAAATCAGTGTTTTGGGGCTTTTCTTGGATTTTTTACGCTTCTGTTTGTTCTCCTCTTAAGATTTTTGTGATGGCGGGTGTATTTGTTTATCGATTTCGAGCTGGGCTGTGTATTGATGAGTTTTAACCCCAACTATTTTTTGTGATCTTAGGATCTATATTTTACTTGGCGTTTCTCTTCAACTAGTTTTTGACAGGCGTTTCTCTTCAACTAGTTTTTGACAGAGTTTCGTTTATAGTCTTTCCTTCTATATCATAGCAAAAAAAATCTGATCTATACATTGAAACTAGATTTTGCTTTATTCATGTCTACTATTCACAGAGACTGACCATATATTTGATTTGGAGTCTGGGTTCTTACCATTTCTTCTGAATCTTTTTCCACCAAGTAAAATATTTCACCGATTACTTTGATTTTGAGGCAGTTTGTACCATATGAATGTGTACGGTGAGAGTTCTTTGTGGGTTCATTTCGAGAATCTTTCTGATTCATCAGTTCTTGTCATCATATCATCTTGATTTTGCTCTCTTTGAATTTGATTTTTCAATTGAGCAAGGTTCAGTTGTTTCCCATCTTGAAAAGCTTAAGCAAACCTGTCTACTTTTTCATGGTTTGCCCACATAAAATAACGATTCACGAGGGTCGATCTTTGCTTGTAGCTTTCTTTTTTTTTGCCAAATTTTGGTTCTTTCCTTGCTCAATCAGACTCTTTGAGAGAACACTATTCATATATAAGATGCTTCAAGTTTACACCTTCCAAGCACATAAAATAACATTCTTTAAAGTCTAGAGTCTTCTACTGGCCTTTGTATTTTCTGGGTCTGCGTTTTTTCCCCCCGAGTTCCTGATCTAATGTTTTGGTATTTTTCTATCTTCTTTGCAGGGTTGATGGATGGTTGAAGAAAAGGTACAATATTTAGGTGGGGTTGTTTGATTTTGATCTTAAGAGGTGGTATTAGTGGTGGTGGGGTTGGGGACCTTTGTCGAGAGAGGCCTTAGGCTACTGTTATGCTGAAGGGTAAGTATAATAAGATAAGGCCTTGTTTTGGAGATAAAATAAGTTCTTGTGACTGTTGCCTAGACAGCACAAGAAGGAAGCAAAAGGCTGTTGGCAGATGTTATCCATTGAAAACCCTCCACCAGATCCCCAGTGTCCTTGTGAAATCTCACAACTGAAAAGCAGTAATAGTCATGAGAAGGCTTCTGATAATAAGCAGCAGCTTGGGGTAGATCTGTCCAAATTCTCCATAAGGTAATAAATGGGCGAAATTTTTCATCTTTCTTAAATCTTCAAGTTTTACACGTCAGTCAGTCATGTTATTTCTTGATACTTCTTTGTTGGCCAGATCCCAGTTGCATATTTCTGATTTTGATTCATCCAAGTATGGGTTTACCATCAAGCTTTCTCTTTTTGTTTTGTTTTTCTTTACCTAATATTGGCCTAATGACCTTATTATTTTTAGCAGGTTTTTGGTCTTCATCTGGTCTTCCCATGTCTTATAAAGTTGTTCTTCCAATTTTATTCATGACCACCGTTAGATGGTCAATTTTGACCGGCTATTCTTGGGTAATTTGTAGTGGTCATTTCATGTTCTTCCAAAACCCTCTCACACTGGGAATCCAAATTCTTGCATATCTGTTTGTGATTAAATCTTTAGTCAAAAGCTGCCATTTTTTGGGGGGAGTCTTATCCTCATTGTACAGTTCTTTTCCTAAAACAGGTGCATAGTTGAAAGGTTATGTGACATTTCAAATCATTTTATGCATTGATGTTTCAATTACCCCATTATTTTGTCCTGAATTTGTTTGTTTATGTGATTTTAGTAATATATCTCAATCTTAAATTTTACTGCAGGGATTATGTTTTCAAAACTCGGAGCAAGGATATCAAGACTAATTGGCCATTTTCTCGGAAAAACTTGCAACTTTGTTTGAAACATGGCGTGACCAATCTGTTGCCACCTTTTCAGTCTCTTGATTATGCAAGATGCTTATCAACTGAAAAATGTGATGTTGGAAGCATCACCAGCGACAAAGTGAGTATAAGCAATTCCGATGGGAAGCTCTCCTGTTCAAGTGACCATCCTGCGTCTGTCTCTTATACCACTATTGGGCATGGCCATGAGCTAAGTGCGGATTGTGGAGACATTAATGAAAGTGGATCTCGAGAAGAGAAAGAATTTCCATCAACCATAACGAGTCATTCCGGTTCTGAAAAAGATACGGTTCCCACAATACAAAGCCCTTGTTTGGAAGCAGAAGCAAAAAAATTCACAGGACCTTTGACCGAGAAGCCTGTATCATCCAACAAGAGTGAAAATACGAACAAAGAAACTGTAAAGAAGTGCAGATTGATTGTGAAATTGAGCAACATTGCTGACCCAAGGTTTCAAGAAGATACGGGTGCACACACTTCTGTGGTGTCAGAAACAATGGCTTCAAAAGTGTGCCCAGTATGCAAGAGCTTTTCATCTTCGTCTAACACCACTTTAAATGCCCACATTGATCAATGTCTTTCTGGGGAGTCAACAATCAAGTGCACAGAAAATCCTAAGGTGATCAAGCATAGAATAAAGCCAAGAAAGTCAAGATTGATAGTAGATATATATGCAACGGCCCAACACTTCACATTGGAGGATCTTGACAGAAGAAACGGTACAAACTGGGCCTCAAACTTGGGTTTTCCAACTCCAAATATGGAGATGTCTGTTGAAGAGAAGGATGAGACACCATCTCCTACTGATGTTGAAGACATCAATGATGAAGCTGCAGTCTACATCGACTCCAATGGCACAAAACTTCGTATTCTATCAAAGTTCAATGATCTGCAATCAAACTCGAATGCTGAAGATGATTGTAGACCAAGGAAACTTGAGAATAGAGACAAAGAAAGCAAATTTTCGTTGAGTAAGAAGAGAAATTTCATTAGGAAACACAAGCTCATGAAATCTGCTCCCCATGACCAAAATAGTTGCTTACTGAGGCATGATCATTGTCACGAGGTGTGTTACTTCAACTTCTTTACAACTTGTTTTTTACAGCAGCTGATTGCTTGTTTCCAATCAAAAAATTTCAGCTTTGCCATTTATGGCATTTGTTCAGCTTTTGGATTGTCAGGATGCATTCCTTTGAACGAATCTAGGCAAATATTCTTGTCTCATTTAGTTTATCTCGAAACCACAAGATTTGGCACAAAATAGTTAGAATTAAGTCTTGTATATTGATTAATTGGAGACTTTTTTTTTTCCCCCGGTTTTCAATCTAACACAAAGGGTTCTTTTTCTGATTTTTGGTATTCTGTTGATAAAAAGTATATTTTCAATTTTGACCATCTGAAATTTTGTTAAGTTATTTCTATAGTGTCTGCATGAAAAGAATCACAAGTTACTCTCTTTATCAAATGACTAACTGCTTGTCATCTTTAGCAAAATGCGAATTAACCATGTATTGTTAACAGATTGACGACAGTGAACAAATAAACATTCCTCCTGAAGAAAGTTGTGAGACAGACGAATTCCTGACACGACCCTTGGAAACTCGTGATCAGATGAAACGAAATAATTTTGGAATGATAAGACAGTGGGTAGGCTCCAAGCGAACTGGTCTAATGAAAAAGATTAACGGTGGAAATCAGCATTCGGATAAAGGTGTACCCAAGGACTTGAGAGTAAAAAGTCATCAGTCTTCACTAGCTGACCTTTTTTTGAAGAGAACTAGTAGTTTGAGTTCGGCAATTTTATCTGATCAGAATCCACAATCACCTCCTGAAAGCAACAGAAGGCTGGAGAATTTATGATTTCATGTAATCTTGACCATTAAAAAACATAAAAGAAAGACAAAATCAACATGGATATATTCAATCTGGCAGCTGACCTTTTTTTGAAGAGAACTAGTAGTTTTTGTTCGGCAATTTAATCTGATCAGAATCCACAATCACCTCATGAAAGCAGCAAAAGACAGGAGAATTTTTCTCCTTTATTGCATGATGGATGCAAGGATCCTTCTTCGAGAAAGAGGGCGGGGATTTCCTTGGCAGATTCTCAAAGCTGTCACACTGAAAAGAAGAAACGTCTTATGTTATCTAAGTGCAGCGTGAAGCAGTTGAGGAACGATGGCCCATCAGTTCTTTATCGTATAATGGATCCTCCGAATTGTACAGTAAATCATGTGCTACCTCGGAGTAACAAGAGAATGGAGGTGCTCAATCCTGCTAAAGATTCTTGTAGTTCTTTTATCAACTCAAGATCGTCCCAGTATCGTGCATATTCATCTGGGGGTAAGAGATTTTCATCTTTAAGGAATATTTCCTTGGATCATGCATTCTCATCTAAAGGCAGGAAATTTTCGTCTTTGCGGAAGAATGAGTTGTCTGTCAGCCAAGCTTCTATTCCTGATCACTATAAGAAAAAATTGAGGAGAAAATTTTTGGACCGGAAGAAGCCTTGGGTGCATTACATGTCAGGATCAGATGAAGAAGCCCTGGCACCCCAATCCACAATTGTTAGGCGACATCACTTGGTAGAAGATCTGTGTAAAAATTCTACTCAGTTAGAACCAACTGATAAGCTATATTTTGATAGAACTAGGGTCTTGAAAATTCGAAAGAAGAGAGAAGCACTTATGATCTGTAGGACGGGGGAAACCAAGTCTTTGAAAAGCTTACAACACTCTCTTGAATCTGATAGCCGGGCTGAGAAGAAGATTGATTCTTTTACTAGCGAAAATGTTCCACCTCTTACACCCGATGGCATGAAATCTTCTGGAAAAGAGGTTGAGATTTCGGATGACATTGTCTGTGAGCCAATCCCTGACATGGCTGACGGGGGAACTTTTATGGTTTTTAGCAAATCATTGGATCCTGCATTCCCCGTGCTTGCTGGTACTTCTGATGTGCAAGGTCTGTCACAACAGTATCTTGAAGCAAACAAGGAACCTTTTCTAGATAAGCCAGTATTGGGTGGTGAAGAGATGTTTTGTGGGGATGAAGTGGGGAAACTTATCATCACTCACGATGCCCACATGGTGGCAGAGTTGGATACTAATGAAGAACCAGGAAATTACTTTGTGGATGTTGATCCGATACCTATTCCTGGACCACCTGGATCCTTTTTGCCAAGTCCTGGGCATATGGGTTCAGAAGATCTTCATGGAAATTCATCATTAACTACCTGCAAGGTTCAATCTTCAGAAGAAGAGCATGAAATAATTGATATGGATTCATCAGATTCTCCAGTAACTGCCGTGTCAGCTATATGCTACTCCATCGCTGCAAGNTCGCTGCAAGATCTTATTCTGTATCCTTGGAGAAGTTGTCTTTAGAACCTGATCGTGGTGTTCAACCTGAGACTAGATCTAGCTTCTCCCGTGCTAGCATTGATCCTGTGGTTGAAAGTTCCAGTCCTTTTGAGCAGGCAGCAAGTGCAGGAGAGGGAAACCTCAACATGGATCAATCAAGGGCAAATCTGATGTTTGCCAAATCGAGTCCTCCCAGATTCAAATACAGTCAGCCCTGCTGTTGCTCTAGGAAGGAGGGAGCTTTATCGGGTGTTGCTTTAAACAATCAAGAATCACAACTTTTACGCAGAAGAACTATGCCTTCACTTGCACTTCCTGCCGTAGAAAAGCAAATGGGTGGTTTTGCAAAGAGAAAGTGTGAAAGTTTCAACTCGAGGTCAGAAATATTCTCTATGAGCAAGTCAAGTTCAGAACCTGAAGAAAATGTTGCAAAATCATCTGTGGGGCAGTTTAAAAATTCTGAGGTTAGGTCCCGAACCCGTGATGATTACGAGTCTGCTGCACCTTCTATTTCTAATCCTGTTCTTAGACTCATGGGAAAAAACTTGGTGGTAAACAAAGACAAAGATGTGGGTGCTGAAACCGGGCCTGCCCCTTCAAGTATCATGAATGACCATGCACAGCAATTATCTAGGGTTGATAATGGTGTCACTTCTAAGAAGATACACAATGAGCACCATTCATTGCGTCATCATACAGTTTCTCAAGTTCCCATCACCTTTGACCATTTGCACTTTGATGTCAATTCGTCAAATGGTTCTGTAAACCACAGCAATCACAGGACACAATTATTTTCTCCTCGTCCATTGATGCCCATGTTTTCAAATAAGAATATCGGTTGGAGTTTCCCATCATCAGTGGGGTGTCACGAAAAAATGGGCGGGTGCAACTTGACCTCTGAACAACTTGGATCCAGGATTAGAGTGGATACTTCAATAACCGATGATAACGAGAAAGTGCGAACTTCTTCTGCCACCAATCTCAGGCGTGTAGATCCTTGCGGTGGGGCCAGAGCAGAAATAATTGTTATTGATGATACACCAGAGAGTGAAACTGGTTCAGTAATTAAATCAACACATTATGAGGGAAATATGAGAGTTGGGGGATCGACAGTTGGGATTCCGGCATCCATGGAAGATTCAAGGCATCTGAATCCTCTCTATCATCATCTGCCACGGGGTTACTGTCGTGGATCTCCAATCGTTCAGAGTGCAAGTTTTCAAGTGCCAACCTCCAAGGGAATGAATGCAAGTCCAGTTAAATGGAATGGCACTCCAGGAGGTTCAAGTGTATTGCGTTCAAATTCTATGACAGCTTCATCAACCTCCAAAGATCACCTTAGAGCTACACTGTATTCTTCTCCTCGCTTTTCATGATCAACAGGAATTACTTGGCAGGGGTCGTTGCGCGTACTGGGATTTGCATCTAGAGTATTCTGTGACATCTCTCTGTGTTCCTGGCCAATTGACTGTCAATACATGGGTGCTCAAAGTCAAATCAAATGACATACATAAAATATAGTCTGACAAAGGAGCACAAGCATAAGTTGCGCCAGATGAGTTCTAAATTCGGTTTCCCTTGTTAAACTTTCTACTTATACTTTGATATAGAAGCACTGTAATTATGATAGTTTTAAAACGGTTTAAGGCTTTTTCTTATATAAATGCAAAAACTTACCTAAAGGCTTATGTATAAGGAATCTTTAATAACGAGTTACCATTATGCTGCGAAATTCTTTTCTCAGTGATTTAAACTTATAAACCTCGTTGAGCGTGTATTTATATATACAGAACTTGAGATAAGTATTCTCCTTTACAGGTTGACATTTACATGAGAATAATGCCTATTTCCTGTTGCATGCACACTTTTTCTTCGTATGTTTAGCATTCACTTATTTTAGCATCATCACATGCATGTTTGTGTGGCTAGCTAATGCCTAACTATATCAGAAGAGAGCCTCTGCGCATCTTATGCTTCATGGGTTTTTATTGTATCTCCTAAGATTCGAACACATGACCTTTGCGGCTTTGCCCTGGTACCAATTGAGCAAAAACATTCATGCCGAGACACAAGGCATTAAACCTGTATCGGCATTTTCTTCTATCTCCGAATCCATATTGAAGAATTGCATTCTGTTATTGCATGACATGGAGGCCAGTTGAACCATGGTTACATATATACATTTCATTGCGGTTCCTTACCAGCTACCTACGTGTTTTAGTTTCAAAAGATCTTGCCGAAAAGAGTAGAGAAAATTATTCTTGAAATCGACTTCAAATTTATTGAAATAATGCATGGTGGTGGTTGAATATGGCCTAAAGAGACAGACAAGACAGTGAAACGAGCTTTGCCTCTGCATGAAATATAGCCGTTACGACATATTATTCGACTTTGTTCCATCAATATTCACGACTCTGTGTGTGTGTGTGTGTGAGAGAGAGAGAGAGAGAGAGAGAGAGAGAGTTGTGAAAAGATGCGTACGAGACACCAAAAGAATGGCTGATTGACATTTGACCGTTACTTGGCACCAACTAATACCTATTTTTTTCAAAAAAATAATAATAATAACTATTTTGAATGTATCCTTTATTATTGAATAAATATTCTTAACATTTTTGTATCTCTTTAGATAATTTTGTTGTGTATTTACCTTTATCGATCATAAGTATTAGTCCATGTGACACTAATATTCATTGTCTACTATTGATTAACGTGAATAAGTAATTATTTATAAGTGATAACAACTAATACCTACTTTTTCTAAAAATAAAATAACTATTCTGAATCTATCCTTTATTTTACATAAAAATTCTGCAATATTCTTTCTCTATTCTTGAAATTTTATGGATCTCGTTAAATAATTCTGTTAAGTGTAATATTATTTAATTTCAGTTGTGTTAATCGTAATCTAGATAGTACTAGATTCATTGGCTTTTATTGATTTACATTAATTTTTAATCAATTATAAGTAATTGATCTCAATGCCATATAAATCGATGCTTAACACTCGATTAGCAGTATTCTATTGATAAACACAATATCAATATTGACGATATGCTTTCACATTTCAATTCAAACTATGGTCTTTTCGTTTTGTCTTCTTCGTAGCTATGGTCACCTATCGTGGACAACGAACTTCAATTCTACCTAAATTACTGCTAAACACTAATGGCGTTACGTAGCATTATTCCATTTCTATCCTAGTCACTTGTTGACATAAATGTTGTGTTTTGTGGGTTTGCTGATGGAATGCGTATGGTGGAGTTTGAAAAATGCTCCAAAGTGGACCATCCTTAATTTGTCCCTTCCCATTGTTGTGCTTTCTTCTAATTGCGATCTTTTCAACAACACCAAAACATTAAAATAATCAAAACTTCTTGTCACTGTTTGACGGAAGGCACCCGTAATATTTCGTGATTTTGGTAATAAAAATGCTGTGATTACAGATTTTTTTCTACAGAATTTTTACCAGAAATTTGAATTTTACTCACATGAGATGGACTCCATGTGATTAAAAAATTGATTTTTCTACCCACCCACCCCCTATTGTTTTTATCCTGTATGGGTACAGGAATTTGAATTCATGTATCCATAGTATCATAAATAAAAATAGAAATGGGAGGTTTTGAGCTGAATTGGAAGAAGATAGTATATTACTTCTCTTATAGAAAAACGTACATAATTACACCACATTTATACAACAAGGTGAGTGCCAAAGAATAACAACCTAACAGAATTGGAGAGAGAAGAAAAAAGAATATACATGTTATCTATCATACATTCTCTATGTGAATTGCACCTTCTTCCTTCTTCTAGAATGTCTTGCTGGTGTTGCTGATGTAGCTTGTCAATGTGACTACCTTGCTGAGATGGCATGTCCACGTTGGAGTAATCTTTTCTTTCATTCTTCAACATCCCTCCACAAGGTGGTGAGTAGATGTCTTCTACTCCCATCTTGGGAGTAGAAACTGGATGATTTTAAGGCTTTAGTCAATATATCAGCAACTTGTGCATTGGTCCTTAGATGTTTTGTCACCACACTTCCTTCTTGAATTTTATCTCGAATAAGATGGCAATCAAGCTCTATATGTTTAGATCTTTCGTGAAAAATCGGATTTGCAGCAATATGAAGTGCTGACTTATTATCGCAGTACAACACGGCTGCTTGTGGATGATGAATTGTCAGATCTTTGAGCAAGAAACGCAGCCAAGTCAGTTCACAACAAGCACTTGCCATGGCTCTATACTCTGCCTCTACAGAGGATCTGGAGATAGTGCTTTGCTTCTTTGATTTCCACGAGATCAAGGAGGATCCCAAGAAGATGCAATACCCTGTGATGGATCTTCGAGTATCTGGACATGAGCCCCAGTCAGAGTCACAATAGGCCTGAAGCTGCAGTGATGATGGAGATGGATACATCAGTCCTTGACATGGGCTCCTTTTGATATAGCGAAGGACTTTATGTGCTGCGTTAAGATGTGGAGTTCTGGGCCTGTCCATGTACTGGCTTAAGAGTTGGACGACATAAGACACATCAGGCCTAGTTACATTTAGGTAGAGAAGTCTTCCAATGAACCTTCTATACATGGATGGATCTTTAAGTAACTCCCCTTCATTTTTAGATAACTCAACATTCTGGTCTAATGGAATTCTTGCTGGTGTTGCTCCAATTGTGCATGAATCTGTTAATATGTCTAGAGCATATTTTCTTTGGCAAACCATGATTCCTTCCCTTGATCTTGCTATCTCAATCCCAAGAAATTTTTTTAACACTCCTAGGTCCTTAATCCTGAATTTCTCGTTCAATAGATCATTTAAGGTTTTGACAGACTCTTCATCATTACTAGCCACAATGATATCATCCACATATACTAAAATGGCAGTAAAAGTCTTTCTTTCAGACCTGGTAGACAAGCTGTAATCAGCCCTTGACTGAATGAATCCCAAGTCCGTAATGAAATTTGACAATTTTGAGTACTATTGGCGTGAAGCCTGCTTCAAACCATATAGACTTTTGAGCAATCTACATACCTTTGGTCGAGATGCCTTTGAGTAACCTGGAGGTAGTTCCATTTACACTTCCTTATTTAGATCACCGTGGAGAAACGCATTATTTACATCAAATTGGTGTAGGATCCACCCCTTTATGGCTGCCACCGCAAGTAGTGTTCTGACAGTAACCATTTTTGCTACCGGTGAGAAGGTTTCATGATAATCTAGGCCTTCTTGCTAAGTGTAGCCCTTTGCAACTAGCCGTGTCTTGTATCTCTCTATTGATCCATCCGAATTGTGCTTGACTTTAAAAACCTACTTACATCAAATGGCTGATTTTTCTTTTGGCAAATCTGTGATTGTCCATGTATGATTTTGTTCTAGGGCATCAATCTCATCCTGCATAGCCTTGCACCAATCTGAGGATTCTAGTGTCTCACTATAATTTTGTGGTTCCAAGTGTGATGTGATGGATGTGATAAAGGCTTTGTGTGCTTGTGATAATTTATCAAAATTAACAATTGCTTCAAGTGGAAAGGCTTACCTAAGGCTGGATGGAACTTCTTCCCTTTGAACTCTTGAAATGGGGTGAATGAGATGGCTTGCTGGAAAATGAAATTTTGTAGATATGAGGGTGTTTTTCTGACTGGTGGATCTTCTTGGCAGGTGAGGACTGGCATTAGAACTTTCTGGTATTGGTTCTGATTCATCTTCAGAATCTCTGGGATTCAAGTCTCTTGATGTTGTGTCAATGTTTGGTGATTTACTTTGGTTATCTGGTATTGTGTTATCATTGTCATGTGATTCATCATATTGTAAGATTTGAGGATTAGCTATGTGATGTTCATTCATATTTGCAGTTTGAGCAAAAAACCAGTCCAATAGGTCAGGTATTGTTTTGGTGTTTTGTTGATCATTTTTCTTGTAAGGGAAGACTTTTTCATGGAATATGACATTCCCTGAGACAAAAGTTTTCTTAGTCTCTAAGTCTAGTAACTTATATCCTTTCATCCCAAAAGGATAACCTAAAAACAGACATTGCCTAGCCCTTGGATCAAATTTGTGTCTACCTTGAACAAGAGTAGTAGCAAAGGCCAAACAACTAAAGACTTCGAGATGGAAATATTTTGGCTTGGTATTAAGGAGGAGTTCAAAAGGTGTTTTATGGTTTAAGAGAGCAGGTGGTGTTCTGTTTATGAGATAAACGGCTGTTAGGACACAATCATTCCAATACTTTATGGGAATTCCACTTTGAAACCTCAATGCTGTTACTACATTGAGAATATGTTGGTACTTCCTCTCCACAACTGAATTTTGTTGTGGAGTTTCAACACAAGATCTTTGATGTACGATTCATTTTTCATGAAAAAAAAATTTCATATT